CCGTTCCGTGACCTTATTTGTATCCTGATTTGTTCATATGCTGAGTCAATTTTCCTCATTTAAATTAATTGAAATGCAATTAATCCGTTCCAGCCTCTCGGGAGGCATGACAAAACAATGCTAATATCAACTCTACGGTTTGTAGATGAATGGTTCAGAGAACCGACATGTTGATAAATTAGACACATGTGCAACTCTTGGGTATCTTTATTGAAGAAACGTTTTGCCACACAGTGGCTTCATCAGTCCATACAAAGGAGAATCTTGAAAAAACAGGAGGATTCTCCTTTGTATGGACTGATGAAGCCACTGTGTGGCGAAACGTTTCTTCATGTCGGTTCTCTGAACCATTCATCAACAAACCTGTCAGACACTGCAACTTCTTAGGATCTTAATACTTGGGAATTCTTCGCTTGCCTAATTCTTGGGCACGACCTACTTCCACATTGAACAAATGTGACACCTTGTGATGAATGGTTTGAAAAACCAACAAGTTGAATATTGAGACACTTATGCAACATGTGGGAGTCTTTATTCAGGAAGCGTTTCGCCACACAGTGGCTTCATCAGTCCAATACGGAGTGGAAGGGCATGGAGAGAGGAGGAGTTTGAGGTGGTCGGTCCCTCAGCCTGGAGTCGATGTGTTCAGTCCATCAATCTTGTAGATTGATGGACTGAACACATCGACTCCGGGCTGAGGGACTGGTTGCCTCGGGCTCCTCCTCTCCTTATGCCTTTCTACTTTGTATTGGACTGATGAAGCCACTGTGTGGCGAAACGTTTCCTGAATAGAGATTCCCATATGTTGCAATAGTGTCTCAATATTCAAATGTGACACCACCTATGATTGCTGCACCTCTCCTACCAACGGTTTATAAGCTCCTTCTCCGCACGTATGCCGTATTCTATTCAAGATTGATGGACTGACCACATCAACTCAAGGTTGAGGGACTGATTTCCTCATTCTCCTCCTGTTTTTTCAAGATTCTCCTTTGTATGGACTGATGAAGCCACTGTGTGGCGAAACGTTTCTTCAATAAAGATATCCAAGAGTTGCACATGTGTCTAATTTATCAACTCTACGGCTTAGTTATCTATCACAATTCATCTAATATAACATAATAAACAATATTAATAACATAGAAACATGATATATACTCTAGAATGAATAAAATAAACCATAATATGGCAAGCAATGGCAAAGCCGGCAACGGCAGAAAGCATCCACCATTTACTCTGCCACTCTAGTGTCTTTCCAGTCCATAACCCCACACCTAGCTTGTGTTTATCTATGATTAGTGGTGAGGTTGTCACATATGTAAACACAGGTGTGGTCAAGACAGATGTATATATAGATGAAGACATGATCACTGTGGCCACAGTGGTGGTGGTGGCGGCCAGCTGCCCCACTCTATGCTGCTACCTTCTTCGTTTCTCTAGCTTTTTTCATAGTTTCTAATCGCTTTTTGCTGATTGTACGCAAATACTGTCTCTTTGGGCGAGGCAATGTGTAAGAAATTTGTACAATATAAGACAAAATTATGCATCCCAAGGGTCTGCTGCGGTCACTCAGAGTGGCACACCTCTTCTTCCTTTTGACCCTTGGTGGGCACTGAAATAGATGTGATAGCAGCTGTACCTACAGCCACCCAGAGGGTTATCAATTTATATTTTGAAGCATTTGGCACAAAAATATAAAAAAATATGAAAAATGTCTAAAAATAACAACATATTATTATTATTATTATTATATTGTATTATTATTATTATTATTATTATAATTATTATTATTCTTAGTAAGAACGTATTATATTTATTATTATTATTATTATTATAATTATTATTATTCTTAGTACAAACGTATTATTATATTTATTATTATTATTATTATTATTATTATTAATACATACATATTATAATTATTATTATTATTCTTAGTATGTACATATTATTATATTTATTATTAGTATTATTATTATTAATACATATGTATTAAAATTATTATTAATTTAGGGAATTGGAGCACAGATTCAATTCAATATTTCAAGAGCCCATCACCACGTACATACTAATAATAATAATATTAATAATAATAATTATTATAACATAATAATACAATGTAATAGTAACAGTAACAATAACAACAACAACAATAATAATAATAATAATACTAATAATAATAACAACAGTAAGGAGAAACTTCAAAAGGCTGCTAGTAGTTGGCACCACCATCAGCAAGACACTGGTAACCACTACTAGTACACTTTTCACCTGTCTAGACTTGTACTAGGTTAAGTCTCCCCAAAATGCCTTGGCATGATAGTGGCTTTCTTTGCTCCAATCATATTATGATATGTAAACACACATTGTGAATTTTGCAAAGAAATAAATATTTTATTTATTTATTTATTTAAGGAGCCTCCCTTGAGGGAAAAATTCACATCCTGAAATTTTGTTCATATCCAGAAGCAAAAAATCGACCAAACGACGGTTCATATCCTGAAAAATTCACATGGTGGGGTGTTTGTAAGCCGAGGTTCCACTGTATATATTAATACAAGCTTAAAACTGTACTATTATAACATTGTAAATTGTACTAATTGTAATACTATTATTTACTACCTCTCTACTATAAATCCTATAAAGTATAAATTTTTTTGGCTACATCTCTAATGTAATAATGTTAAATAATGAATAATTACAATTTACCACTCCATAACCTACGATTAGTTTTAAATAGTCTGTAAGCATTAGGTTTAGTCTGCCCAAAATGCTCAGGCATGCTAGTAGCTTTCTTCGTGCTTAACAATATTTTATAATATGTAAATCCCATATTGTACGCTTTGCAAAGAAATAAAAACTTGAATTTGAATGGGTGAGTCTTTGCAATTACATAAGTTAAAAAATACTCTATTATGATCCATTTTTTAATAATCCATTTCCAAAATACATAACAAACTACATAGCTCTTACCAATGATCATGTTTGATTTAATGCAGTGAACACTGAGGTATTTGGATACTTTGTATATCTATTGGCTAGAAATGCAGGTAGATTAAGTGTTACTGTACATAACTTAATAATGTACTGCATACTGACATTCATGAATATGTTTTCATGAGATGTATAATGTAGTACAGCACAAGTCACTCTTAGTGATTTGTTTCATTGGCATGTAAAAATTTAACAATTATGAGATACCTTACAGTCTCAAACCTGTCACCAGTTTCAAGAGTTCTACTCTCACAGCCTGACCAGAAACCAGAATTTCATACAGACAACCTGATCAATCAGGCAGTTGGTGCTAACAACCAATGGAACTACATAACCATCACAATTTAAATGATCCATCATGTTTTAGCTAATGGTTTAAAACAAGTATGTACTGTAATCAATTATTTAAATATTTTCACAAATCCATGAAGCACAGGACAGGTAGGCCATGACTCGTCACAATCTCCCCAACCAAAGACAAGACTGTGTCCATACATTCAGTTACTGACCAAATGATGCACACATCATCCATAGTGCTGACTGTTCTTAATTAAGACACCTTAACTGTTATAACTTCAACCATATACAAACCTTCAATAGTTTTAGTCTCAGTTTAAGTCTACAGGAAATCTTGTGCAGAATTATGGGCTTTATCTAATTACATCACAAACAAACTGTTACCATTCAGAAAATAGACTTATTATGTTGAAACAGGTTAAAAGTTACATAGCTGTACAATGTGGAATACATCAAGTTAATATTGGCCCTTAGAGGCTTTTTTTTTTAAAGTTCTATGAAAATAATGATATGAATATAAAAAATACACATATTTACATTTTTGAGAACTGGAATTGGGATCCTTTTTTGTATATTAGTACCTGTCATTAAGAGAGAATACTCACAATACTCGAGAAGAAGGCTCGCCATATGCAATGATTGTCAACATAGCGGTACATGCACTCAATACCATGTAGTGTATCCATGTGGAAATTACAACTATTTCATTAGAAACATGTAAAAATGTAGCCTACAAACAAAAAATAAATGGAAACAAATAATGAAATTAACTTAATTTCTTTTTTTTTTTTTTTACTTTCCAAATAAAAAATGGTAACTGTTTAAAACATACCTAAGAAATACTACTGTGTTTCTAATCTTAAATAAGCAATGCCAATATAAAAATATTTAAGCTTGTATTACTCTAATGATGTGTTTCTTGACTTCTCAATACATATTACCCTTATGACAACTAAGCATCTTTCAGACCAACTCTATAGTCATATAATCTGCATTTTATAGTGAAAATTTGGCATTTGCTAGTCTTAGAAATACACAGAACTTTTATCAGATTGCTTAAATCATATTCTGCCGAAAGAGCTGCAATATATCAATACCATGCTTTATAATATAATAATAATACAGTACTTACTACTTGCTGTAAAATGGTATCAAGAGGGATTTATTATGGTTAGCAAAGCTAATAAAGAAAATACATTATAAATATTACTGACTTCTGTGTATCCAACTTTTGAAATTCAATCATAATATGGTACATAGCTGGAATGCACACACTCTTTACTTGCAATAACCTCAGGCTTATGTTAATGAATTATGTTGGCTTATATACCCTCTGAAGTGTTATTTGCTGATACATATTAGAAGCTTTATTTCATTTAAAACCTGACCTTTTCATTTATTTAAAACATTATTTTCTCTAATTTTACTTAGAAGATTTATACCTGTATATGGCTAAATTTAATTATTTTGACATTATATTTATGTGCACTCTCATAACACACAAACACTTAAATCAGGCTGTGTTATAAAGCACCCTATTACATGTGTAAATACACTTAAATATTAAAAAAAAAAAAAAAAAAAACGAATTAGTGACAAGAGCGAGGTCGTGCGTTGGACTCAGTAGTTGCTGTTGGGAGGCAGAGATGGCTCTGGTGGCAGTGATGATGATGGTGATGTGGTGGTAGGGGAGGGACTCTACACTCTACCTTCTTCCCCTCTCGTTCTTGAGTGTTCCGCCGTACTTGGATCTAGTCCCAACCAGGTCTATAATTTCAGGGATACAGCTTGCGAATATTGCCTAAGTAGAGATGGAGCACAGAACTTTAAGTAGCACCAACACACAAATCACACTGTTGCCAAATTTCATGCAAGAGTTTAGGCACACTTTCGCCGTGGTCAACATGGCTTTGAGGGGTATACAGTGGCTACTGTAAACACAGATAATGATTTGTACACAGCCAGCATGTATGACCACCTCTCATTGCCCGTGCTCTGTTGACAGGAGCTCAGCAAAGTGCTGATGTCTCCCATAGCCCACGTTTTATGGCCTTAATATAGTAGGTAGAAAATACAAATGCCACCGAGGTTGAATTGCGGGAGGACTAAGCTAAATGATGATCATCCCATGCAACATGTGCCTAAACAATCGCGGGTCACGGGAGTATAAAAAAGTTGAGTATGATTCTACGGGCTTTCTCCTAACTGATACCTCCGTCCATGTGACCGTTTGTACTCGCCGCCATACTTGGACCTGTTGCCTACGATCTCGGTGATTTCTGGTATCCAGCTGGCAAACACAGCCTAGAGGAACCATAGCAGGCCAGTCAGACGAGGACCAGCACGGATCAAGGGGCTAGACTAGAGGACTTAGGACAGAGGAAGTTTGGAACCATGGGACACCAGGTTTAACGAGGGGGCGGATGACACGACATGGGAGGGTTAAGGGTACAGCACCAAGAGGAAGGCTTAATTATGGATTGGATAATGGTAAAAGTAATAATGACATGAAATGAAAGAAAATTAGGATTATGACATATACTATATAAGAGATTAAAACTAAATCTGTGAAGGATAAATAAGGAAGACTGTGTAAATATTGATAGGAAGGGTAATTTCTATATCAGAAGTACCATTTGAGGGACTAAGAGTGATTCCTGTAGGTAAGTGGGCCTTGTAAACTGAACATAAGAAAGATATAGGTGTAAGGAAAAAGTAATGGAAGTAATATAAGACATGTTGCTTTCTAAGATGAAAAGGGTACAATGCTACTATGTGGAAGTTTGTGAAATGACAACCAGTAGATGAGCTTAAGGGAGAGACAACATACAAAACACTAGGGCAATTGGTTAATAGACTATTAGGGTGTGTCTAAGGTATATGAATAGGCATGTAAATCTTCAAAACAGGAGCACATATGTGGCTTAAGAGGGCTATTACATGCAGAGCAACATAGAATGTAAAGGATGTGGTAAGCAACAAATAGGCAGACTGCTGACTGTAAAAACCAATATTTTCCCCACAAAATTACAACATTAGTTTTAGTGAGATAATTAATGTCAGGGCATGGAATGGTGTTAAGAGGTAGTAAAAAAAAAAAATTGTTTTTTATACATGGCTAAAACAATAAAAATCAAGAAAGGAATGCAAAACAAGATGAATAATGCAGAATAAAAATATACTGATGAGCATTGTGAAAATATGGCATGTAGAACTGAACCATTTATTTGCCAGCTTAAATTGGAAAGGTATAAAAACAAAACTAATATAATATAGTGCAATTTAACCATTATTTATTGGAAGTGACAGCAGCAATGTAAAAAATGTAAGACTGTGTATATGAAGGTACCTAAAGGGCTATAAGTATACAGATAAAAGTAGAGAGATAGCTCAAGTCAAGGAATCGTTGATGTACTGCATATAGGTCAATGTAAAAATATGGAGCAAATACTGACAATTATATATATATATTAGAATAAAAGAATCTATAATATGTAAGTAAAAGTAAATTTATAACATAATTCCTAAACACTGATACTAATTCTTGAATTTTTATACAGTATGTAAAAAAGGTATGTATAGCTAGGTGCACGTTTGATATCTGCAGAGCAGCAAACTCAGCCAAATGTTTAACATTAATTCTGTAAGTACGATAAGAAACTTGAAGCTATAGGAGAGGAAAACGTAAACAACATACAAGATGCAAGTTACTAAACATAAAATGGATGCTAGACCTACACAGGGTAAAATTTACATAAATAATTTAGGAAATGCAAAATTTCAACCTTGATGAAGGCAAAGATTTGTGAGAAATAGCACAGAGGAAGTATAGGAACAACAACTGGCCCAATCATAAAACAAAACAATGTAATTTAACTAAGTGAACTGAAGAAAATAACAATAATTAAACCATCAAAATATGCATACACAGAAAAACAATCTGTACTAAAGTTAACTAGCAAAATAAAAAAATTCAACATTAAAATAATTCAACTTCGTACTACAAATAAACTGAAAGACTACTAGTATAAATAACAAAAAGTATCTGGCATAAGAAAATCTACAAAATAAATTTAACTGTTGCTAAAGAAGCACAGACAAGGTAAATCTTAAGAAAAAAAAGGTAGGCAGAATTTCCATAGATATTGTTCTGGACACAAATGAATACGACACAGGAAAGGCATTCACCACATAAATAAAAAAATAAATAAAAGTGTGAAAATATATTGTATAAAGAAATAAAGTTATAGATATGACAACAGATGGAAAGGCTGATATGTATAGAGTTAGGGAAATAAACAATATTTAAAATTAATATTAAGCAATATAATATGAATAATTGTTAGAGCCCCTTCATAGATCATTTCAGTGCTCAGCATTAATTAAATCATTAGTATATAGGGCATTTTTTATCATCCTTTTATTTCTTTATGAACATGAACCTTAAGCAAACACCAAAATGGAAAAAAATCATTCCCAAAACATGCACAGGCATAGTCACTAAAAGCAAATGTTATCCATTTTGAGATAACTCAGTGGTAAATACATGCATCATCCTGACAGAAGACCTATACCTGACTACTGGTATATCTGTGTGTACTATATGAGTGATTCATGACCTTCATTCAAAAACACACACACACCCTTATATGTATACATACATACACATATATATATACATGTATATGTACACGCACACACATATATGTATATACAGTAGACCCCCGCATAACGATCACCTCCCAATGCGACCAATTATGTAAGTGTATTTATGTAAGTGCGTTTGTACGTGTATGTTTGGGGGTCTGAAATGGACTAATCTACTTCACAATATTCCTTATGGGAACAAATTCGGTTAGTACTGGCACCTGAACATACTTCTGGAATGAAAAAATATCGTTAACCGGGGGTCCACTGTATATATATATATTTTTTTTAAAAAGTCAGCCATCTCCCACTGAGGCAGGGTGACCCAAAAAGAAAGAAAATCCCCAAAAAGAAAATACTTTCATCATCATTCAACACTTTCACCTCGCTCACAAATAATCACTGTTTTTGCAGAGGTGCTCAGAACACAACAGTTTAGAAGCATATACATATAAAGATACACAACATATCCCTCCAAACTGCTAATATCCCAAAACCCCTCCTTTAGAGTGCAGGCATTGTACTTCCCATTTCCAGGACTCAAGTCCGACTATATAAAAATAACCGGTTTCCCTGAATCCCTTCACTAAATATTACCCTGCTCACATTCCAACAAATTGTCAGGTCACAAATACCATTCGTCTCCATTCACTCCTATCAAACACGCTCATGCACGCCTGCTGGAAGTCTAAGCCCCTCACCCACAAAACCCCTTACCCTTCCCTTCCAACTTTTTGGGGAGACCCCTCAGATTTAACTGCTCTCCATGTCATTCACTTTGAATATATATATATATATATAAATAATATATATATATATATAATCTTATATAATATTATATAAATTATATATATATATTATATATATAAATATATATATATATATATATAATTTATATAATATATATATATATATCATATATATATATATATACCCCATAAAGATCACAGTAAACAGTGATTTAGAATATGCAAAACAACCACTTTTGAAAGATAGAGAAATTCCCAAGCGCTTCGTGACTATCACATTATCAAGGAATGTAGTAGTCACGAAGCGCTTGGAATTTCTCTATCTTTCAAGTGGTATGTTTTGCATATATATATATATATATATATATATATATATATATATATATATATATATATATATATATATATATATATATAATATATATATATATATATATATATATTTATATATATATGCAAAACAACCACTCTGAAAGAATAAGAAATTCCAAGCGCTTTCGTGACTACTCACATTATCAAGGAACTATGAAAGTTTCCTTAATATAATTGAATCTTGTTTCATAAAAAGCAGTTTTGAAAATAATATGAATATTTCCTTTGGTTTATATAAATTAGATCCATTTATAATTAATAGAATTTGGGAAGAATTTAATAATACACTGGACAAATAATCTTTAAAAAAATTTCTTATTTCTTGGGTAGAATAGTTTGTGGGGAGTTGTGCCAAGGACCTATCCAAGTTGGGTCGGCGCGCGTCATGAGGGTGTTTAAAAACCGTTGTGGGATCTGATAGTGAGGTCCGGCCAGACCCTTATATAGCTTCCTTTGGATGCTTTACTTTCATAGTTCCTTGATAATGTGAGTATCACGAAAGCGCTTGGAATTTCTCTATTTTTCAGAGTGGTTGTTTTTGCATATTCTGAAATCACCTGTTTACTGTGATCTTATTGTGTGTGTGTGTTATATATATATATATATATATATATAATATATATTATATAATATATATATATATTATATATATATATATATATATATAATATATATATATATATAATATATATATATATATATATATATATAATATATATATATATATATATAAATATATATATATATATATATATATATATATATATATATATATATATATATATATATATATATATATATATATAATATATATATATATATTATATATATATATATATTATATATATATATATATATATTTATATTATTTATTTATTTAGACTTTGCAGAACAGGCAAAATATTTACCTCAGGTCGGAGGAGACTCGAACTTACGAACTTTAGTACAAACTATGCAGTACTATACATACCATGCCAGACTAGACAATACTCTGGTGCCCAGCCAAGCTAGGTACTTGTTCCAGTCACCTAGT